TTAGTTTTTTTTATCACTTTTTATTTTAAATTGCGAAAATTCAAAAATCACAATTGTCATCGAATGACAGCAACCAGATGATACTTCGGTTACAATTAATTTGTTCTATGTCATTGTTGAAAAACATTGAAAGTTAGTTCAGACCACAATTATATTTAGAGTTTGCATAATTTAATAAATTTTAGAAAAGTTAATTCGAACAAATGAATAAAATTTCCTTAAAAACTTCTTCATAAATTCAAATTCAAACAGTTTGAATGGAGAATGAGAAGAAACATTTGAGTGTGTCTTGCGACATACGCCGTATTATTTCTTGCTATTGTTTGCTCTACATCAATGTCATTCATTATTCTACAATTTGAAGTAATTGTCGTCTTGATGAATTGTTTTTTTGCATTAAATACAGAAAAAAGTATCGAAATGGACATATGTTAAGAAGAAATTTGTTGATTGCTCTTACAAAAACATTTGTCATATGAAACACACGTACTAATTAAATGCAATATCATGATTAAATACATTAAATTTACAAATAAATTAATAAAAATAAGTACGAACAACGAACATTTATAAACTCACCTCGGTGAACTTTGAAAGAACAATGAACAGGCTGGTGAACCAATCTATTGAAGCAGCCAACCAATTAACCCACCATCTAACTAATCTACCAACCAACCAACTAACCAACCAACCAACTAACCAACCAAACGGTCAACCAACCGACCAACCGGCTGACCAACCGGCCAACCAACCCACCGACCGACCAAGCAGGAACCAGCATACGAAGAAAGCATTTTGCTTGTCGCTCGCTCGCTCGCTTGTTTGCAGAAGTTCACCTTCTATCCTTTCTTTAAACCATTTGACTGGGTTTGCACGCAGCTATAGCAGGTATATATATGTGTGTGTGCGTGTATATATACATATACGTATACAAATGGTAGATTCTATGCGACCGAAGCTCAACACGTGCCTAAGTGTGCTTGTGTGCAATGTGTGCAGTGCATATATGATGCATTGCATAGGCATATATATATATATATTTATATGTATATATATATATATATATCACGTCATATATATATATATATATAGATATATATCTCACGTCATATATATATATATATATATATATGACATGTTGCATATGCATGTATATATGTGTATATTTATAAATGTATATACATATTACGTTGACACATCTAATATGCAAAAAAAACAACTCAAAAAACACAACACATTTTTTTGTATTTCAGTTTTTTACAATTTCACTAAATAAATGTGTTAATTTTATGCCACCAGTTTTCAGTGATGGGACATCTTTTCATGAACTGTTAGTGAACTGATGGGCTAGCTGGCGATCAAGCAAGAGACTGATATGCTTCGCGCTTCTGAAGTGATTAACAGTTTCAAAAAAAATTGTATGTAATTGATCAACCGCTAAATAATATCACATAAGACGCTGCAGCGGTCATCAGCTGTCAAATAAATAAATATTTATCTAACTTAACCCAATAGTTGTTGCTGATCATTCTAAATGTAAATAGTTTGATGTTATAATGTAAGTAGCAAAGTTTCCATCAGTTGACATGGGCGTAGGGCGTGTGGACGCTGCCAAAAATTAATGTGAACATGAACGAATATTTATTTCAGGTTTGTTGGTTACTATTTAATATTTTTCTACCATCAAATCCACAAAGTCGAACTGGATGGAGGAAGTTTCGCGTGGAAGCAGGTGGATGATCCCGGTGTCGTAATTTGAAAGAATCGCATTAAAAACCACATTGAGTTAATTATTCTATGTGCCACCACATCTAACAACATTAAACCTGCAGTGGGCTATTCAAATATAATATACACACATGCTTACGTCTACACACACACACACACACACACACACACACACACACACACACACACACACACACACACACACACACACACACACATACACACATATACACAACACACAAACACACATGTATATATAAATATATATAATATATAATGTTTATAATATGCGTACTGTGAGCAAGTAATATATTTAATTAAGGCGTAATCAAATAAATTAATAAAAACTACACATTAGACGTAACGCTGGATAGAGTGGAACAAAGCACGAATGAATGCACTGGACCTCAGAAAATTTGCTTTAAAATATTCTACAGTTTTCGAAAAAAAAATTTTAGTTGAGTTCAATAATTTAAGTTGGTTAGTTCCTGGAAGCGTCTTCGTTGTTGCGCAGTTGTGTTGTTTTACAATTGTATTGTGCTGTTTTATTGTTGTGTTGTTGTATTGTGTCGTTGTGTTTTTGTGCTGTTTTGTTGTTGTGCTGATGTGTTGTTGTGCTGCGTACATGCCAAACCCTAATTATAACGTTTTTTTTTCGTTTTTTCAATTTCGCCACCTATTTAATTTTTGTTTTTGGTTTATTTTAAAAATCTTGAAGTTTCGTTTGAATTATTTTCTGCTTTTTATTAATATTTCTGTCATATCTTATAAAATTTCTGCAACAATAATAACAGTAATATTAGTAATAATAATAATAATAATCAAATAATAATAATAAAATGTTCTTAAATTTTGAAACTGTCTTGAATCTTAACGGTGTGTCCATACTAACTAACAATTGTTTATTGCAGACTTTAAGCATTGAAACGAATAAATAAATAAATAAATAAATAAGCTAAGGAGGGAGGAGGGCAGTAAATTAAAGTAGAAAATTGATAGTTGCAGGGATGGATGAACTAAGATAAAAAAATGTCTGACGCTTTCTCGGGCCTAGGGAATTAAATAACAGTGATTCGTCATAAAGCAAACGCGGTGCCATGCGCTAAAGTCAGCGATGATTTATTGCAGTGAGCAGAAGAAATAAAAATTTCTGTGAAACCGACACAAAAAATGAAAAACTGCCGTTTTCCAAGGTTTCTTTTATTTTTAAAAAAAATGCCGATAGCGTTGATGTTTATTATTAGTCTTTTTTCTCTTTCATTTTACGAGCTTTGAAAAGTTATAAATTGTTTTTGGTTTTAAATTTTTGTTTGGAGTGGGAAATTAATATTTTATGTCGAGCTGGTATGTTTGCAAGTAAAAAATAATCACTCCATTCTTTCCTCGATGTCTTGCGTCTAATATTTCATATCTCAAATAAAAAAAAAACAATAATTAGTAGATATAAAATTAAGATAGCAATCTAAAATGAAGAATAAATAAAACACAATACATAATACAGTACAAGGAAAATCATCACCACAAATAATAGTGGATAACGAAAAATTATGAACGTTCTATTCAAATTGAATAAATGATAAGAGGTAAAGAAAGCGACGTTAGCTGATAGGAGGACCAAATGACAACAAATAGTACAAGACATTGTCGCAGTTTCATCCCTTTATAGTACATACATACAAACATGAATAACACATATGACTCGCGAGTTAAAGAGCTAATAATGTTTGAAAAATTGTTTCACGTCGAGTGACGTCTACAGCTAATTTCAGCATCTTTTTCAGTCCGCCAGAAAACGCTTTAAAACAAATTTAAAAGGTATACGTTTTCGCTATAAACTTTAAAATGTAATGTTGAAATATTTCACAGGTATTTTTAAAAGTAGTAGGTAGGTACAATGGTTTATCTGAAGATTTGAAAATAATCCCACTTGGAATGAAAAATATTTGAATCTATATTTCTTTCAGTATGAAAGATTTAAAAACTTTCCAGTATTTTTAGAAACCATCACGCAATGGCAGAGTTTAACATTTGCTCCTTAAGAGCGCTAAACGTGATGGACAGAAGAGAATCAGCCACTATAAAACAAAGAAAATCATCCTTATCATTCGTCAACATCCGTCCACTTCACTCAATTCATCATTTGAAAACTTTTTATTTTTTTAGCAAAATTAATTTCTTTTAAAAGTCCTTAAATGTTGACAACTATTGTTTTTTCTCTGCTTATTTGAATGCAACGGTAAAAATCATAATAAGAATATTTTTGACATAACTCGTAGAAAGTCTTTCACACGAAGAAATATTTTTCATTTGAATTTACACTCTGAACTAATCAAACAAATAGTGAAAAATATGATTGAGAATTTATTATCTCCAAAGTGTCAGGTGTTGCATGAAAAATAAAAAGTAATCTCAGAGAAGATATAAAGACTGCGTGACGACTTTCTGATAAGAGGCGTGGATTGCAAAAAAAGAAAAGAAAAAATAACGCAAATTGCATCGCTGTCAAAAATCAAAGTAGGCAGACTCAAGTATGTCTTTAAACCATGGCTTTAAACAGAAGTATTACATTTAAAAACTTACGTTTAATGGGTGTCATTCCCGGTGTTCTCCTCTAAGCCGTTCCATATTATTCATAACTTAATATTAATATATACACTGTGTAGAACTGCTAAAAAGTATCTTGTTTTGCAATAAACCAATTTCTATTAAATTTAGATGATCAAATTAATACTTTACACTTAAATCCTAAAATCGTTCAAGTGCTCTTCCATCGCACTTGAAGAGATTTATAATTTGAGTGAATCATACATACATCCCCTTGCATCAAGTGCATGTTAACAATTTATCATAATTTCTGGCGTAAAATTTGTATAAAGTATGTCACGAGGTAGGCTCTCGTAGAAAATTGTATCCTTATTTGATAAATCGTTGAAATTTCTAACGTCATATATAGACATCATGAATGTAAAATATCTCGTTGAAATACGGAGTTGTACAAGATTGACGTGCACGGATCGACCGTAACCGCAGATAGAATATTCGAGCGTCATGCTTTAAAATTATTTTATTGATTGTTTGAAGGTTTGTTTTAAAACAAGTAGTTTCAAATAGAGACTTATTCCGTAACAATGAAAAATCTTAAGAGGATCTGCAAACATTTCCAAAAAGTATTATAAGGCATTGGTTTCAAACTAACTTATTAAACGAATAGATTCATCAAACCATAACGAACAAAAAACACAAAAACTGTTGTGAACAATCTTTTTATTTATTCAAGAAATAGAAACCAATTCAACTTCAAAATGCAGTGTAGCACCGGATGGAACCCTTTTGTAAAGTTATTTCGTTAAGGAATCATAATTTGAACCTAGTAAACGTTTCAAGATAAAGCGCGTCCGCACTCTACATACTTCTGAGAAAATTACATGCACATAGGATAAGCTTAAATGAATATTAAAACTATTGAAAAAAAAGTATCCTTAAACTTTGCATGTTTTAAACTAATACAGAAAAAGAACACTTTGAACTCATCAAAACAACGAAAGGTAACATCAGATTCATAAAAGAATCACTAGCAATCATATAAACGTCATTATGAACAGCATCCAGTAAACCTATCTGTTGACATTTATTTACAAATACGTGCACTCGTTCTCACCACGCACACACACCACACACACAAACACGCACACCACACACATAAACACGCACAACCACACACACACACACACAAGAAAGGATACTTTCCTTCGACACCCTTTTTGCCATAGGCCCACTCAGGTTGAATAACTAATTCAGCTTTCTCCCCGACTGTCATCGTCAGCAACGCTTCATCCCACTGAAAATGAACAAACTTTAGTTAAATATTTAGTTTATCAGCTGAAATAATTGCTTAAAAATCAACTAAATATTAGCAACTGAAACTTTTATAGAAACAACTTTGAGGGTGTCAACTCCTCATATAATTGATTCTTCACAAAAAACAATCAAGAAAAAAGTAAGAACATTTACCCCTCTAATAACTTTTCCAACTCCAACTTTAAATTTCAAAGGAGGATTCTTTTTGGCCTTTTTACCTGCGGCCAAAAAAATTTTCAAAAATAATTGATATTTGTTATGCAACTGAAAATGAATATACAATATATAAATGAAAATTTCAACGAAAATTTCAAAATTACTGAGATAAAACTTGTGTCATAGTTTCAGTAATCTAACCATCATCAACATTGGTGTCAAAAACTTTCCCATTATCCAACTTTCCAGTATAGTAACATTCAACTTCATCACCTTTCTTTGGATAGGTGCACTTGTCACCTTGCTTCAAAATTTTCTTTGTGTATTTAGGAACTTCCTAATTTTTTTTAAATGTACAATTTAGAATTTAATTCTAAAATAAAATTTTATAAATTATAGTGTGTAATTACTGCATTCAAAACAGAATTCATTTTGTTTAAGTTCTAACCGGTTCTTTAGCTTGTGACTTTTTTGGCTTCTCAGTCGCTTCTGCCTTTGTCTCAACCTTTTTTTCTGGCACCTTCTGCTCAACTTCATCATTGCCAGTTCCTCGGAAATCCTAAAATTATAAAAAATAACATTTTAATACATTGGCATTTTTGAAATAAAAAATCAATTAATAATAAAATATATTTGATTTGACTGAAAATTTAACAATAGAACAAATCTTGAAGTATACTTAGAACAATTGAAAATTAATAATACAATTTCCAAACTTTAGTGGCAAAAAGATGTTTATAATGTTCAGCTAATTGTGGCTTTGTTTTGACTTTGGCAACATTGTTTACTGTTCCTTTCAACTTCTGTTCCACCAAGAACTAAAATTTAAATTCAATTTCTGAATAATAATCAACATTAGTTAATCTAAGCTGACATAAAAAAATAATTCAATTATTGAACTACTGATAATCAGGTAATGTCATAATGGTGAATTAACCGTGTTAAAATGTTGTTATAGACACTATGATATAGATTAGAAGCACAGTGGCAGATCTAATTTATATTGTGATTTATAGTGATTTATATAATATATTTCATATGATTATCATTATGTTTTTTTTTTACATTACTATATTATATGTACTATGTAGTCTGTGTAGAGTGGAGTACCTTTTCAGATGCATTGGCCTGCAAGAAAGCTACCAGATCCTTCTTGCTAACTGCATCACTGAGAAGATCTTCGTCTTTGTAAGGCGGCAGAACATCTGTCATGGCTTTCTCAATTGCTCGATGTTGCTATTTTATATCAAACTATTGTAAAGAATAACAAACTCCCCGTGCGACGAGTGCTGAACGACGAATGAGGACTTAAATGTGAACTTAACTAATAACTAACCTACTACGGTTCAGGTTCAAACCACATAAATAACTACGAACTTTCTCAGTCTGCTCTACTAAACCTTTACTACGCTTGTATTTATATTTATCCCTATCTTACTTACTGCATAGCTGTATGGGGAAACTGTCCTAAAAGTCATTTGTACAACATTACGCTCTCTCAAAAACGCTCAATACGTTAAATATTAATAAAATATATTAGAAATACAAAATACTAAAATATTAGAAATTAAAAATATTAGAAAAAACAAAATATTAGAATTACTCTTTGAAATATCTACAGCATACATTATATTGTGTTTGGGAACTATGAATTCTTGAAACCTTGAAATCTGCTTATATATCATTATTACAAATTGACACTGGTGATCAGTACAAGAAGTCCAGATTTCTTTTTCGATTTCCAGATCATTTCCTTTTATTGATTTCATTTTTCTGATTTCACTGTTTGATTTGATGAAATAAAAATGTCAAATATATATATATATATATATATAAATATATTTTTACAATATTCTATAAATTCTACCGAATGTTTGGCGTTAATATGTTTGTAGTTCGTTTTTTCGATTTTTCTCACTAAAGTTTTTTGGTGAACGTTTAGTTAAAAATTATGGTCTATTACCAACATAAATTATATATATATATATACGATATATATAAACAAAGAATATATATGTATGTATACATGTATCAATATGTTACTATATATGCATATATAATTTTTATATATATTAATATATATACATAAATATGTGTATAAGACGTGAAACCTAGAGAGACTCAGATATGGCCATTAAATACACATACATTCTCACACACGTACATATATGCAAACAAACATAAAAAAAACATTTTTTAATCTGAAAATTTTTAAAAATTGAAAATTTAATTTTGCGGGCGGTATTTCAAATAACGGACTTGAATCCGCATCGTCGGCAAACCGCACAAACAAAATCCGCAAACCGCAAAATCCGCTGAGTTTTGAGAATTTTTTAACGCAACCGCGGTTGCGGTAACTGCGGTTTGAAACAGCATTGCGGTCCGTTAAAAAAATTTTCAACATTAAAAATAATTTTTAACGAGTAACCAGCAGTAGAGTTAAACAAAAAATTACATTTAGACAGTAGAATCAGGGAAATGAAAAGAATGTTGAGAATAGACCCGCGCTTTTGCAGCAATACGCACGATGATCACATGATCAAGTGACAAATCGCATATTTATTAAATTCAAAACTAAGTTTCGTTAATAATAAAAAGTGTTTAACTGATTTCTTTTTTTTATTCAGCTAATAAGACAATTTGATTTTGATTCTGCAGGAATATTTTTATCAAGAACGAAAGTTTGCGTAAGATGTGCAGGTATTGGAAAGTCCCACAGGGAAGGTGGTTCCGTGCGGTATTCCCAAACATTGTTCTCATTGGCTCGCTTCAATCTCTCTGCCCTCATGTCTTCCTCATGTTTGATTATGGACGCCTACAAATTCAAGACATTATCTATTAATGCTGGCCGTATATTTCATAATAATAGTAATAAATCATTATAAAAAGTCAAACATGCAAAAGTGTGACAGCAACCAGAACCATGAGATTCGATTGCATGTGAATATTATTTTGTTGCTCATTTGAAGAGACTGTTATTTTGAAGATATATGCTTAAATGTTGATGAGCTCTACTTTCCATAGAACAAAGAATCAAAGATTGTAAGAAATAATAAATACTGAACCAGTGCTTTCAGATCTTTGTTCTTTTCATAAAGTTTGCAATTGGCATGATCTTGTTTCCAATGAAAACATTCCTTGACATCTCCTTCAGTGTATCTTTGGTGAAATCTGCCTCTTACACCTGCATAGATTGGTGAAGCAGTAAAGGCCCAACTATGAAAAATTGTATTACCATAATGTTCAGAAGTATATATTCAAAGTCAAACATTCAGTGGAATGTTCTGCAGTGTCAAAGATATTAATAATGAAATCAAACTGATCAGTCCAGTCACATTTTTAATGATGAAAAGAAAAAATTATGTTATTTATATATATTTATTTACATTTTTTATTTAACATGCACTTTGATTAAAAAGTAAAAAAAACATATGAAAGTCAAAAATAAAAAATATTGGTTACAATTATTAGTATTCAAACATTCAACAAAACAACTTTTGATTCAGAACAATGATACATCTTATGAAAAGATTCTTAATTATAAAAAGTTATTATTAAATAACTTTATTTATAATAATAACAATTTATTATACAAATTATTAAACTGAATGAAACAATAATGAAAAGTACAAGCAAATAAAAACCTACTTGTGCATTCTTTGTACTCATCTAAGTATATGGAACATGGCCTTAACTGGAAAAATATTTTTCCAACTCAAATACAAATAATTTTAACAAATTAATAACAGTATCTAATTAATGAATGCAAAATATGACTAATAACATCTTTTTATGTCTTATGACATGTCAATCCACCAAATGATTTGAAATAAAATTAATTATATATTGAATTATCATTATTTCTAATATAATATAAGTCATACATTAAAAATTGATAATTCTCGGCTAAATCTAATAATTAGATAAAAGAGGCTCTTCTTTATAAAATAAATATATTATATATTGAATTATCATTATTTCTAATATTTATTTATAATTGTTAGTTATAAGTCATACATTAAAAATTGATAATTCTCGGCTAAATCTAATAATTAGATAGAAGAGGCTCTTCTAAACTAATTATTAATACTATTATTTAGTGAATATCATTAGTAATACTGATTTGTTAATATTTATTAAATAGAAAAACATTAGATTTGATTTTAGATTAGCATTAAAGATTAAAATAAGAGTGATTTGCGATTTAAAATTTATAAAGTATCAGCAGAGAATTATCAATTTTGAATATATGACTGGTTAGATTCAAATTCTAATAGTATTAGTATTAGTAATACTAATTAACTAATGTAATGTAATTGTAATTAGTAATCAGAAATCAAATCGGAATTAGGTTTTTTTTTAAAACGTTAACTTAATTATTAAAATTAATAATATTTAATTAATAACCATCCATAATTTGTCCTCGATATTTTTGATTTTGTCGATCTCTACCATCGCAGTAACTAATCCAACAAGTGGAGAACAAACCCGAGATTGCAACTGCTGCAAACGATCGATTAGAAACTTAGAAAGTTAAATAACCCTAACATCGAAACCACTAAAATGAAACTTAACAAGAATTTATTAATCAAAATATTGATGCGCTAAACACTTGCAATACTCTTTATAAAAAGAACATGATACTCTAATTGTTATATACCATGATACATTGATTTTCATGTATGATACGCTAATGATATATATATATATATATATATATATACCATAATATATATATATATATGTTAATTCTACCGAATGTTTGGCGTT